TTGCCCTTTTGTATCCCCAATGCCCATCACAGTGCCTAGAACATAGTAGACCCTTAATAAAAAATTCTTTGATTAGTTGCCTATTATCAATTTTTTCTATTTTACTTTATTCTGAATTTAAGAAATAAAACAAGCACTTCCACAACATAGTAGAATAGAAAAAAAATGATTGCAATATAGATGCAAGCTATTATTAGTCTGTCTTGGTCTTTGCTCTTTGTATCACCAAGTAGCACTTACTTATTTTATCTTGCTACTAATTGTTTCACTTATATCTTGGCTCCCCAACTAGACATAAACTTATGATTGGTCCATGCCTTCGACACCTATTTTTCCCCAGGGTCTCTAGAACAGTGCCAGGGGCTCTAAAACCACGCCTCAGTTCACTGAATGATTAATGTTTCTATAAACTAAAGAAGTTTGTAAAGTAGGTTGTGTGTGGCATCATCTTTTCAGGACAACTCATCAGACAAAGGAGAGATAGGCTTTGAATAGCTGGGCTGAGAAAATAAGACCTAATTTAATAGCGTTAGAGAATAGTATTGCTGAATTGCCACATTGCCAAAATCCCTTGAAAATCTATTATCGTCTTTCTTCTACTTGAGGGAAATCTGATGCTCACACAATCCTAAATCACACAGCGCATCAGTAGAAAAGGAGTAAAGCTGGGACATCTACTATTCTTGCCATGAAACAGCATCCCTTATTCCCTGATCATCTATCTGACATAATTTCAGGATTTAGAGCAAATGTGACAGTTTACCAAAAACTTGAGGAATTAATTTTCTAAATAAGCAGATATTTAATGGAATTCCATGGCTAGAGTTCATCAAAGTGACCATTCTGCTGGTAATAAAACTCCATGCTTAGCTAGTTTGGTTCTCAATCTGTCTCAGGGTCCATACTCAAAGCCTTTCTCTCCTGCAAGAACCTGTCAAAGTGGTTACTACCTTCAAGACATTCCCCAAATCACTTTCATATCACAATAAGAAAAGGATTTCTGTGGAGGATTTTGGACCCAAAACATAATCAATGATGAGTTCTGCCCTCCCTCCCACACTCCAAGAATCCAGCTAAGTCGTATATTATGATTTAGCATTTTGTATTGGTACATTTCAGGTAGGGTTACCTTACCATCATTCCATTTTACAGATAAAGGAATCATGTGAAATACAATTTCCCAAATAATATTATTGGTATGTTAGAATTCATAATACCTAAATTTCTAAGCCAGCATTTAAAATGCTGAGCCACAATGTTTCCCATAAGCCCAAGTTTTTAGGCATCAGAGGAAGCTTTGGTACAGGAAATTGTGGAGAAACTCCATGGAGAAAGCTAAAGCACAAGGCAATAAGATCAAAGAGGTATTAAAATAACCACAGGAGCCCTATGACTATGAAGACTCTATATCATTGCAGTAAATGTATAATTTATTTAAGTCTCTCCATCTACAAAATAGGGATAAAACACTTATTAACCAAATAGCATGAGTAACAAGAATTTCTGAAAATGTTTGACTGAAATAAGGCAAATACTAATTATTCAATATATACATTGATACCTCTATGTTAATCTGTGTAATCCTTTGAAAAATCATAGACTTGACTGGCTTTTAGTTCTTATGGTGCCACTAACTTCTTGTTTAGCATAGGGCTAGTCTTTTTGCTTCTCTTGGCCTCAGTCTCCTCATCTGTAAAATTCTAATAATAATAGAATCCTAAATTCCTTTATTCTAATAGTAGAATTTTAAGCACTGTGATGTAGTAGAGAGCAATTTTTAGATGGAGAGGAACTTCCTGATTACCCTCAAATCATACAATATAAGATGACCGCCTATTTCCCTAGCCTAGCCCTATTAATGACTTGCAAGACCATCTGTGAGATGTCATATTAATGATCCTTCTTATTTATTGGTTAAGATATGGATTACAAGAAAGTGTACTGGATTTGAGGTAAAAGGACCTGAATTCAAAGCCTAGCTTTGGCTACCTTCAAGTTGAATGATCTTGGCCATTTAATCCCTCTGACTGTATGATTCCCTGTTTTGAAGTTACTGAACTTAGGGTCACTGAATTCAAAGGGAAATTCTTCCTAAAATCAGTAGAAGTCTTGTTTTTAGGTTCAATGTGATCCTGAATGGAGCTTGTATCACAGTTTTCCATTTTTTTTAAAGCACTGAATAACACATGAGTGGAGACTATGCTCATACCCAGGCTTTAGCCTAAAATTTTACTAAATCATGTGGAATCTCATAAGAACTGAAATAAAAAAATGTTAAAGGGAGGTCGATACAGGCAGAAAGGGCTAACAGCTAATGGTAGAAAACCATTATGAAGCAGTTGGGACTGTTTTTATATGTTGTGTGTCTCTAGCACCTAAGACACCATCATGCACACAGCAGATGTCCAATAAATATTTCTTTAAAAATGTTCACTTCTATAGTCCTTTACTTTTTCTTATTTTTATTTATTAATTAGCTGAATGAAGCTCTAATGGTTAAAAAAAAAGTTTCCATAGAATTCCAGCAAACTTTTCACGTTCCCTCAATGTTGATGATTTGACTTGCTTGAGGAAGCAATAAAACAATAAATAAGGTTGATCAGGTTTTGAAATTAGAAGGCACTTATTTCTTTCATTATTTTAATAGGTGTAAAGCATTAAGGGTAAGTTTTCATTATGAAGTCTATAAAATCCATGTAGAATATGAACTTTTAAATCACATTTGTTGAATTTTAATAATCTTAGACTACCTTAAACAATGCCACCAATGTAGAACAGATGTAAAGTCTCTAGTCATGTTTGGTACAGGAGTTGTCTTCCTTTGAGCAAAGCTATTAAGAATCAACTCGTCTTTGGACAAAGGTAAAGATGTTTGCAATGCTTCACCCGTGGCCACCCACTTTCTCTACCTTGAAGAACTACATTGGCTCTTTAAAAAGAACTCATATATGATAATTGTTGTTGGAGGATATATGTAACCTAATTAAATTAATAATATAATAAGAATCAACTTCTAGTCAATTTACAAAAAAAAAAAAACTCATCTGTGAACAGGGTTGTCCTTGTATTATTCCTTAGTTAGCGACTAAAATGGGAAATCTGTATTCTGATACTTCCTCCTCTTTGGCATCCACCTCAAAGCCTATATGCTCCATTTGTTTACCCTAAATATTTGCAGACCCTATAATTTGGAATTTTTTAATCCTTCAGGTTTACTGAAGCCAGACTGTGCTGGCACAAACTGCTTGCAACACTCATATCAGCCTGACTGTCCAGTCCCAAATGACTATGTGCTGATAAAGCTGTCACTGGAGCCCATGCATCTAATTAGGTCTATTAAACACCTCTAATTAACTTACTATAATCAATGCAATTCATAGCTTTGGAGGATGATTATAGGTATAAACTAAATTTAAACTATTTTATGTGTTATTACTATAAAGCAAATGTAATTTAATGTTAGCATTTCCAATAGTCCCCCTATCTCCCAAATTAGTTTTTCAAAATGTTTCAAAATTCGAATTCTAATTTATAGTTAGTAGCAATTTGAAATCCAATATTTTATCTTAAATAGTTTCACTTTATTTTTTCTAGCTAGCACTCCCTATACACAAACACACCTTAGATTACATATTCTATGATTTTATCTTATTTATTTTGATACATAAAGTTGGGCTATTCATATTCTTTTCCAGAACTTTATTAAACAACGTTCTCTTGTAAAAGGACTCAACTAAAAGGGTTTGTTTGAAATAATCTCTAATAGGTATCAAGAGGGAAGACATGAAAAGTTTTGGCTTTTCAGCAGAGTACTTTAACTACCACAGCTAATTCAGAGATTCTAAGTAGCATAAGGTAAACTGAACAGTCCCCAAATTGAATCCAATAATAGGTTTTACAAAGAAATTAATTAGATGGAGTCTTAAACTAACAAGGATTTTAGAGAGAAATTTAAGCCAATTTCATCTTATTACTCCTGCATAATTTTTCTGGGAAATCATAACTCAGAAAAAAGCAAAGTATTCTATTAACTCTGGCTCTGCCATGGTTAAACTATGGTATACTTATCTATAAGATCATTTATTCAGCATTTTAATCAGAGCCTTAGAAAAAGAACTGGTAAATTTTATCCAAAGCAAATTTCTACTGCATACATTTAAGAGGATAACACACTAGCAAACAAATATGGAATAGGAAGTATTCACCAGGAAAAAGTATAAGCTATACACATAACCTGTTTCTTGAACTGCCTATCATGAAACAAGGCTGTCAACAAAACTTGAATCAAGTTGAACCATTTGTGCCAACATTTTTTAAAAAACCCTATAATACAGTATTAAATCATAGTTCCTGGTTCCACAACTTTGCAAGCGTCAACTTGATTATTTTGCTTATTAGCTGGAAAGATATTCACGATGTATTAAAGAAATGGAGCACCTTCATCCCTTCCTGCACACAAACAACTTCACCTGCGTGCTACTGTCTGGAAATCACCTGATTTACTGGCTTAAAAAGTAAAATAAAATAAAAAGACGTAGTCTTGGATTTCTGAATGCCTCCCTTCGCTTAAATCAAAGTACCCAGAGTTTTTTGTTTTGTTTTGTTTTTAATTGTCCTATATCTGAGATCAGGTGAATCTCCACCTTCTCTCAAACCAGGAATTCCCAGGCTTGTAGGGAGAATTCTTCCTGCTCTGCAGCCTGGTTCATTCAAACTGTCTGGAGCGCAGGCAGCAGCCACCCAAGCACACACGTGTACACATATACACACACACACACACACACACACACACACACACACACACACACAAATACAAGCATACCACAAGTGGGTGAGTCTTTTCAGAAGATTAACCTTAAGTCTTGAGAAGCAGTGGCACCCTCTCCCCACTCCTTCCTGGTCACCAAATGGACAATATCCCCACTACACGTTTGGAAGAGCAAAGCAAACACGCTCGTCTTTCCTGTCTCTCCAAGACAAAAGCCCCAAATCACATTTACCGTCTTGTACCACCAGCTTGCAAAAGCCATGACGAGCCCCAGTTAAGTCTTCTGAACCAGACGAAAGACAGGCTTAAGTGAGGAGCTGCGTGTGCGTGACGGTGCGCGGATTAAGGTCTCTACCTGCACCAGGCTTTAGCTGACTCTAAACTCCCGGCTACCCCAACAGCCGCGGGGTGGGAGAGCAAGGCACTGGGCGGGGCCCGCTATAGCCCCCACCCCTTGGCAACCAAGCCCCGCCCCGTCAGCCAGATTTGGCCTCACTTGAGAGAGTGGAGGATGTGTTGTTCTCGGGACAGCCGCGCCCTGAAGCTTCATACTTTTTTTTTGGAGGGGGTGACAGGAATAGGACATTGTTGAATTGCTCGGTTACAGTATTCTCGGCATCTCTAGGGAAGCCGATTTTGTCTTTCTCCCGATTACCCACGTTGCCCTTTTCTCTGTTGCTAACTATTTCGGCTCCGCTGCTTCCTCCGCCCGCCACCCCCTCAGCTCCCTGGCGCTGGCACGCACCACGCCCAGCGGGCTCCCGCAGTCCCGTCGGGTCCCAGGAATCTCCTTCCAACTCCAGCCACGCCCGGTCCCCATCTTCCTGCACCCTCACCCTTTACCCAGGAGGGTGTTCTGGCCGCATCCGGGTGGGGCATGGCCGAAGGAGGAGTCCAGCGGTTCCAGGGCTGTGGTTGTCCCCCTCCCCACTCTCTACCACCTTTCCCACCCCTACTGGGTGGGATGTCTAAAAATCTACTTACCGCTTCGGCTGCCCGGGCAGCAGCAGCCCGCTTGGGCCGGGGGGAGGCTGCGGGCTTCTTGCCTTTGCCGGGCTGAGACATGGTGACAGCTGCAGATCTCAGAGAGGGTGCAACAGGGACTGGAGAGGAGGAAGGGGGAGACAGAGAAGGGAGGAAAGGAAGGGGCAGTACATGCAACGGTGAAGCAGCTTTTCCGATCAAGCGCTGGAGCCAAAGCTGGGGCCTCACCCCCAGCAAGTCCCTCCCCTTCCTGCACTCGCTAGTTTCTGCGGCTACCCCTGCCACTGTCCTTCCCGGGGTGTCCGATGCTGCTGATCCGCTCCCTTCTTCTGCCTTCACCCAACTGTCTCCCTCTCCCAAACCTCTTCTACCCAGTGCTCTGGGTACTTTTGGAGAGGAGGGGCAGGAGGGCTGGAGGCCGCTTAGGGTTTCTTCCTTCAACTTGCCAAGACCTATCTCGTAACTGTGCAGAGAGCCGGACCCGGGCGTGGCCCTCCTATTCTCTCGTCTTCCTTAGGTATTTCAAGAATTAGCACCTTTCCTAGAACTCCACCTGGGCTTGGCCTTCGGGAAGAGTTGCCATTTGGACTTTGATCATAGGTTGGGACTCTGAAGAGTAAATGGATCACAAAAGCAAATTGGACTGTGGATTCCTCCCTCCCTCCCCCGGGTTTGGGAAGCTTGGGCGAATTGATGAATGAACAACTAATCAAATTGCGGTGACTTTTGGTGGAGGAAAAAGGGAGCTGGTTCCAGTCAATTAAGAAGGGCCCTTAAACCTCAGCCTCAAACCTAATCTTGGTTGTTCTGATTTGTTTTTAGTTGTTGTTTCGGAGGTTTTTTTTTTTTTTTAATAATTGCTTGGTTTATTTGCGTGGTTTTAAACAGCACGTACTTCCTACTTTGGGGGTTGAAAGTGAAAATAACAGGAACAGCAAGAAAAGTCTCTTTCGAAGATACTACCAGCCTGAGGTGGCCACTGTTTCATGTTCAGACCTGCTAGGCAAACCTGATGATTTTTGTGATTTATTCATTTCCAAAATCAGGGTGTCCCCCTTAATCTTCTGCATTGCAGTCTGTGGGAGGGAAGAACTCCGTCCTCCCCCTGCCCCCCATGGGTGCACAGATAAAATTGAAGGCTGCTTTCGTGTTGAAGTTGTACTGAACTAATTTCTGACTCCTTTTATTTTAGTAATTCAGAAAATTCCTTGGGTCCTTCATTCTACTGTGCAGATATGGATTAGTATTCTCAGTGAGTAATTAAAGCAGGCTATTTCATCAAAAAACATCTCACTTATTACCCTTAAAGCTAGCATCCCCTAAAAGCCTTAGACAGTATTGTGTGCATTTCATCTTTGAAGTGGAAGAACAGGATTGCTGGGATTATGTTGAAAAATCAGAAGAAGCTAAAGAGTGAAAACTGATTTAGGAAGTCAACAACTGACCAGGAAGATAATGTCTGAGAAGTGAGGTTTCTCAAATGGTTAAGGAGAATAGAGATTAAGATGAGACCATTAGATATGGCAATTAAGAAATCAGTGGTAATTTTGGAAAGAGCAGTTGGAAGTCAGATTGCAGAGGCCTTCAAAGAGAGTCGGAGGGGAGGAAGTGGAGACACTAGTTATAGATAACTCTTTCAAGGATCTTGGAGATGAAGTGGAGAAAACATATAGGATGATAGATAGAGGGGGTGGTCAGATCAAGTGAGGGGGTTTTAAGGATGAGAGAAACATAGGCCCGTGTATTTGGTTATCAGGGAAGGAGTCAGTAAATTGAAAGAGATTGAAGATTAGAAAGAGTGGAGATGATAGTGGTGGCAATTTGTTGGAAAATTTGGGAAGAGAGCAAGGATGTATGTGGAAGGATTTGTTTTGGTAAATTGAAGGGGCCACCTCTTGATGTGAAACCAGAGTGAAGGAAGGGATAATAGAGGGAGATACCTGAGTAATGAAATGAGGAAGATAGAAGAGCGGTTCTCCTGAAATGATCTCAGTTTGGGAGAACTCAAAGTTTGAGGTGTGAGGCCCTTGACTGAAGAAGTGGTGGGAGGGGTGGTGTTCATAGGTTTGAGGAGAGACAAGGTTTGGAACAGCTGCTGTGGAGAGTGAGAGAGCAAATCAGTTAGGAAGGAATTGAATGTTTTCCTTGCTGAAGAGTAGACTCTTGAGATTAGGTAATATAAATGTGTAATGGGCTCAGTCAACACAATTTCATGCAGAGCTCTTCAATTTTTATTTTGTTTCTGTGCCCAAGAGAAGTCATCTTTGGATTGTAAAGAGTAGAACACAAGTGGGTAATAGGGAGTTAATACCTAATATAAATATGGAAATGGTAAGACAATCACCTAGCTTCTCTTGATATATTCAAGTCATTTGGCAAAGATGAACTACTGTACATATTTAGGTACTTCTAATATTGGTGGATGTGACTGTGGAACCACTGTCACTGATATTTAAAGCATCATGGACAATGGGAGAAGCACAAATTGAAGAAGGGCAAATATCCCAATTTTATTTTTTAATGGAAGAGACTAGAAACCTTCAAAGTGTAGGTCACTGAACTTGACTTCAATTTCTGGTGAAATTATAGAACATATAATTAAAGATATGTTGAGTGAACATCTAGAAAAAGAAGACAAGGGAAAGGAATAAGCATTATATAGTGTCTACTATGTACCAGGCACTGTGCTAATTTCTTCACAAATATTATCTTATTTGATCTTCACAACAACTCTTGAAGATAAGTACTATGATTATTAATTATTGCCATTGGTAATCACAGAGTTGACATGTCTTTGTTATGAACCAGTTATGCAAGACTAACACTATTTTCTTTAGTGACAATCACCTGGTAGTTAAAGGGGCATGTAGGAGATGTGTTTTACCTAGATTGTAGCCAAGCATTTGCTAAAGTATCTCATGCAATTCTTGTGCAAATGATCGATATATGTGGGCTAGATGGATCCAGAGCTGGTTGAATAGCTAGAACTAAATAGTATAAATTAATGACTTGATGCTCACTTGGCAGAAAGTTTCCAGTGGAATTCAACCAGGAATCTGACCTTACAATGTTTAATGTTTTTATTGATGATTTATATAAGGCCATGGATTGAAAGAGGGATTTGTAGATAGTGGAGGACAGGATTAATCAGATTTCACAGGATGAAACTTTGGAAAAGGGAGCTAACACATTGCATGATCAGGATCCCAAAAGATCTTGGTAAGCATTGGATTGAATCCAAGATGAAATTCTGTTGCGACAAAAGGCTTACATTACATTACATTCAAAATTTCAAGATAAGGGACATAGTTAGATACCAGTTTGTCTGAAAAAGATCTGGAAAGCTTTGGTGATCCTACAAAATTAATATGAATCAAATATGACCTCAAAATGCTAATGCAATCTTGAACTGTACTAAGAAAAGCATGAACTACCAGGAATGAGGAGGCCACGGTCCTGCTGTACTCTGCCATAGCCAGAAATTTAGAATTTTGAGTTTCATTCTAGATACTTTATTTTAGGAAGAATGTCGATAAACTGGAAATTATCCAGAGCAGGACAACCAGGATTGTGAAGGGTTTCAGGTTCATGCTGTATGAGGATCGCTGGAAAAAACTGAGGATGCTTAGTCTTGAGAAGGTAAGACTCAGGGAGACATGATAGCTGTGTTCAAGTATTTGAAGAGTTGTTCTATGGAAGAAGGATAAGATCTGTTTTGTTTGGCCCCAAAACAATGGGGAAGGTTGCCAAGAGGTGAATTTAGGTTTGATGTCAAGAAAAACTTAACAATGAATTATCCCAAATCTGAATGGGCTCCCCTGGAGAGAGGACTTTTTCTCTCACTTCAGGTCTTGAAGAAAAGACTGGACTTGTTGGGTATGTTGTAAAAGGATCCTTTTTATGGTACGAGATGGACTAGATGAACACTGAAGTCCCTTCCAACTCTGAAATTCTGTAATTCTGTGCAGTTGAGTTTCAGGAAACCTAGCTCAAAGTTCCAGATCTGCCAAATACCAGCTTTGAGCAAATCACTTTACTATATGGACCTTAGCTTCCCCATCATAAGGAGACAGTTGGGCTAGGTGGCTTCTAAAGTATATTCTGGTCCTGACAGTTTGTAAGGAAGTTGGCCCAGCTGGAGTACAAGGTTAAATTTAGGTATTACTTTTAAAACTGAAGAGACAAAGTAGAAAGAAATCATGGAAAGCTGGACTATTTCAGAACCCCAATCACTAAGGGGCCTTCTTGGAGGGATGCTTAAGTCAAGTTGATAAGCAAGTTTTATGTGCTTACTGTGTGCTCAGCACTGGGGATAGAAAGACAATAACAGTCCCTGCACTCAAGGAGTTAAAATCTCATATGAGAGACACATAAAAAACAAAACAGGATACA